GGCAATCATACAATATGTAGTCCTTTGTGACTGGCTTCTTTCACTTAGCATATTTTCAAGGTTCATCCATGTTGTAGCATGAAGCAGTACTTCATCCCTTTGTATGGATTAAGAATAATCTTGTAATGGATACGCTAAAATGTTATCTATCCGTTAGTGAGCTGATAGACATTTGGGTTGTTTTCACTTTTGGGCTGCATTATGAATAACGCTGCTATGAACATTCATGGACAAGTTTTTGTGTGGACATATACTTTGCTCTCTCTTGCGTATATGCCTAGGGGTAGAATTGTTGAATCACATGGTAACTATGTTTAACCATTTGAGGAACTGCCAGCCTATTTTCCAAAGCAGCTGCACCATTTAATGTTCAGCAGTGGATGAGGGTTCCAGGCTCTCCACATCCTTGTCATACCTGGTATTATTTCTCTTTGATTACAGACATCTTAAATGGGTATCTCATTGTGGTTTTGATTTGCATTTTCCTGATGGTTAATGATGCATATCTTTTCATGTGCCATTTGCATATCTTCCTTGGAGAAATATCTATTCAGATCCTTTGCCCATTTTTATTGGGATATTTATCTTTTAATTATTGAATTGTAATAGTTCTCTACATATTCTATATACAAGCCTTTTACCAGATATATGAATTGAAACATTTTTTCTCCATTCTGCAAGTTGTCTTTTCTCTTTATTTAAGGTATCATTTAAAACACGGAAGTTTGTCATTTTAATATGTCCAGTTAATGTTTTTGTTGTTGTCACTTGTGTTTTTGCCTAATCCAAGGTCATGAAGGTCATGAAAATGTAAGCCTATGCTCTTGTCAGAACTGTATAGTTTTAGCTCTTTCACTTAGATCTCTGATTCATTTTGAGTTGGTTTTTGTATATGGTCTAAGGTAGCACTCCAAGTTCATTCCTTTGCATGTGAATGTGCCAGTGCCCCACTATGGAAAAAGACTATTCTTTCCCAATCAGACTGTCCTGACACCTTGCTGAAAATCGATTGTAAGTGTAAAGGTTTATTTCTAGATTCTCAATTCTATGCCACCAGTCTATATACCTAATTTCAGGCCAGTACCTCTCTGTCTTGATTACTGTAGCTTTGTAGTGTGTTTTAAATTTGGGAAATGTGAGTCCTTTGACTTTTTTCTTCTTTTTCAATATTGCTTTGGCTCTTCTGGGTCCCTTGAATTTCTATCTGAATTTTAGGTTTAGCTTGTCAATTCAGGTAAAGGAGTCAGCTGAAATTTTGATAGAGATTGCCTTTACTCTATAGATCAGCAGGAGGATTACTGTCATTTTAACCATATTGAGTCTTCTGATTCATGAACATGGGATGTCTTTCCATTTACTTAGGTCCTCTATAATTTATCTCATCAATGTTTTGGAGTTTTCAGAGTATAAGTTTTGTACTCCCTAAATGTATTCCTAAGTATTTTATTCCTTTTGATGTTATTACAAATGGCATTGTTTTCTTAATTTTACTTTTTGTTTGCTCATTGCTCCTGTATAGAAAAACAATTCAGTTTTGAATACTGATCTTCTATCCTGAAACTTGCTGAACTTGTTCATCAAGTCCAATAGATTTTTAGAGGTCTTGGCTTTTTTTGTTTCTTTTTGTTCTTTACAATAGTTTACCTCCTTCAAGGAAAAGAACAAATTTAATTTTTAAGAACCACAACAATTCTTATATATGGTGCAACTATTCTGTTCCATTTCTTGATGTTCCTCAGATCTGCTAAGTGACTATTCTTTGGATTTAAACATGGGGAAATTAATCTTTAGAGAAGCTGAGTAACTTCCATAAGGTAACAAGGTAAAGCAAATATTCTCCTTTTACTGTAAGACATGTGGAAAATGAAGATTCACTACCTTTCTTTTTTTTTTTTTTTTAGATTTTATTTATTTGAGAGAGAGAGACAGAGATAGTGAGAGAGCACAAGTGGGGAGGAGAGGGAGAAGCAGGCTTCCCACAGAGCAGGGAGCCCGATGCGGGCTCGATCCCAGGACCCTGGGACCATGACCTGAGCCGAAGGCAGACGCTTAACCGACTGAGCCACCCAGGCGCCCTTCACTACCTTTCTTTATACCACTTCAGTTCCTAGGCTTGTGTGAGCATACACACACACACACACACACACACTCAGGGTTCATTGTTTTATCAGACCTCTGCTCCTGGAGTTCATCTTTTTGTCTAAAGGTTTTCTCTGGTTAACTTTCTAGAAGTCAGTACTGATGCACTTGTTAATTATGTTGTCAAATGATGTATATGACTTTAGGGTAAACCTCAGTCCTCCTTATCACCAGTTACAGATGAAGAAAGTGAAAAAGGAGGAGGTGATTTGCCCAAGGTTACACAGAAAACAGTGGCAGAAGAATTGTTTTTATCATTTCAACCCTCTTTTGGTTTGTACTAAAATCCTTAGCCTTTTTTTCTTTTTCTGGGTCTATAAACACTCCTCACATCCTCTAGAGATAAAATTGTAGAGCCAAGATGTTGAGTCCCACAGACAAGGCTGAGAAGGACTAACAGCCATCTGCTGGGGAGGTAAGACTACATTCATCTATTCACTCATTCAACAAATAATTATTGAATGCCTATTATGCTATTATGCAACAGGTCATGTGCTAGGGGTACAGAGATAGAAAAATAACCTTTGCTTTCTACAAACTTACAGCTAATGGGGAATGCAGACAAACCAACAATTTCTATAATGTATGAAAAGCTCTGGGAACTATGGAAAAATGTCAGTCATTTATTCAGCATAGGGGGTGAGAGAATGATTCTTGGAGGAGAATGTATCCAAGCCAATGACAAAAGTATAAAACAAAACAAAAAGAAGTATGAGTGAGAAAGGAGAAATAGGGTCAGAGTCGCAGGAGGTAAGCAGAGTTTGAGAAAGCATGCCACCTTGGGGAAAATTAAGCCATTCCATGTGGCAAGAGCAGAAGCATAAAGGGCAATGAATGGCTAAGTATGTGTATGTGCATTCAGTGCTTAGACTGCCTGGCACATATTCCAGTCTCCATCTATCTGTATTCAGTGAATAAATGGGTAATGGAGGTATAGCTGGAGAAGGCAGTAGTCAGATCAGGAAGGATCTTGTATAATTGTAAAAGTGAGTTTGAATTTTATTCTGAAGATAGGATTTTCATCTGGAAAGTGCTATAGTCAGATGCACCCACTGGAGGTGTGGAAAGTGGACTGGAGATGGACAAGCTTGGAGAGGTGTCGAGTTTGTTACAGAAATGCAGGTGAGAAGTAAGGAATGTGGAGGAAGGAGCAGAGTGGAGAAGAGGTGGCAGCTGAGGAGAGTAAGGAGGTATTCAGCAGTTAATATCTGGGTTGAGAATGTGGGCAGAGGGAGTGGAATAAGTGGAAGGCTCCCAGGCTTCTCCATCTCTTTTGATTTTCATCATGTGAGGAGGGATGGAGTGAGCGAGGAGCTGAGGCAACAGTGAGGGAGGAAGCAGAGGTGCCCACCAAGATAAAAGATGCTGGCCGTCCTCCCTTCTTTCTTTCCTTCCATATCACTTCTCCAGAGAGAAGGATGGAAAAGAGGTGATGGTGGACAACTCATGAATCCTTTATAGCCCTCCAACTCCCATTTTTAAATGAAGGGGTTGGATGATCACTGACGTTTCTTCCAACTTGGAAATTCTCTGTTCCATGATGTGTCTTTTTCAAGACCCACCCGGTTGGTGTGGATTTCCTGAGCAGAGGGAATTATTAGGAGATTTTGGTAAGAGAAGATGAGTTGAGAATTGAGAACAACTGGCTGGGATTCAGGAAACTTGGCTCAGCCCAACTACCTGGGGGACCGCAGGTAGTCAACCCACATCTCCAAGCTCTGAACTCACCCAAAATAAAGATAAAGGATGGTGGATGGCGTGATGGCAAAGGAGTCTCTCCACACCAGCAATGTCTCACTCTCTGGAGTGGCTTAGAGAAGGCTCTTCCTTCACCCTCCCGACCCCTTCTTTCTTGCTCCATTCCTATTCTATACATTATTGATTCTTCTCTTTGGCCTGATTAATTTCCTCATGTTCACTCTACTTCCTGAGGAGGGCTCATCTTTGACATTCAACTTAAGCTGTTCAGGAAATTCAAGTGTCATTCACTTTGGATTAGAGATAGAATTTACTAATCGGGATACATCTGCTTCCACTGTGGGTACCAAGGTCAGTATCTGATATCCTAATTATTTGAAGTCTGCTCCTGGCTTGCCATCAGGCACACAATGTATAATATTTATATCAGTGATCGATGAATGCTTCCTATTGGATAAATGCATATGAACAATGCTTCCCAAATGTAAAGGGTAATAATAATCTTTTTCATGGTAATGAATGCTATTGACTCAGACTCTGAAATCTTCAATAGCCCATCCATATAACTTAAGATTTTACTTAAAGATGAAAATCAAATACAAGGAATGAAACAAATGAATAACAAACAAAAAGCAGAATCAAATCTATAAATACAGAGAACAAACTGATGGTTCCCAGAGGGGAGAGGGTGGGGGATGGGCAAAATGGATGAAGGGGAATGGGAGATACAGGCTTCCAGTTATGGAATGAAGGAACCACAGGAATAAAAGGCACAGCATAGGGAATATAGTCAGTGGTATTATAATAGCATTGCATGGTGACAGATGGTAGCCACACTTGTGGTGAACACAGAATAAGGTATAGAGATGCTGAATCACCATGTTTTACACCCAAAACTAATGTAACATTGTGTGTCAGCTATACTCAAATAAAAAAAATTATATCAAATACAAGCATTTGATGGGATATGCATAATCTAAATCTTAGGTCAAACTACTGTGCGTCTTGATCAAGAGAGCAATGATTTTTAATTTGTTATGGGTTATGCAGCTATTCTTGATTCTGTAAAATGTACATTTTTTATCTAGGAATTCTTTCTTATATTTGGAACAAATGATAAATTCTTAGTGGTTTTAACATTTCGTTCAGTATTTGCTTCTCACCTTTTCTCAGCTTTGGAGTGCTTCCAGATAGACATCTGCAGAGAAAAATAGGGAAAATCTGAAGGAGGGAGACCCCAAACCATTTTTTTAAATCACCTAAGAAAGATGCTGAGGGGGTGGCTTAACAAAAAGGCAACGACTTTGCTAACGTGGGTCTCCACTTATTCAATAAAGTTAACAGAAGATGAACTTGGGTATCTGGGAATATTTAATTGCTGCAGGCAGAGTTTTAATTCTTTTCTTAAAAAAAAAAAAACCAACAACGTGATTTGGAGACTGAGTTGTGTGTTTTTTTTTTTTTTTTTTACTTTCTCTTTTAGATATACAAGCAGATAATTTTAACAGAAGAAAAATACTGTTTACAGTGCTGTGTTGCTTAGGAACAAATATTCACCATCTTCTCTTATGAGTCCCAGTCCAGTCCAGCTCCCATCCTAGCTTTGCCTGCCCTGCATCTTTGTGTCTCTCACTGAGCCTTCTGAGGTTTTCTCTCTTTTTCTGTGTGCCTCCTATGCTCTAGGGGTTTTATATATGCTCATTAAGCCAATGATGGGAAACAAAATGTTAAGTCTTTTCCACCTCTTTTCCCCCCTCCCCCCATCCCCAAGTAGTAAAAGAGGTTGGGTACACAATCCAATAGGTAGGTTTGAATCTCAGGTTACCACTTTTTATCCTTGTGCAAGTTACACAATATGTATCTGAGCCTCAGTTTCACTGGGAGTGTACAGGTATCAGTGCTCTTACCTTGAGCCTAATCCATTCTCACTAGGAGTCAAAATGATTAGGACATGTCTGGAAGGGCCCACTAATTAAAGGGGATTCCCCAGACAGAACTCTGGATGGTAGCTTGGGAGATAGCACAGAAGGTACATTTCTCTCTCTTCCTTATTTATATGCTCACTTTATCTGGAAAAGTGCTAGCTATGCCAATCAAATGTTGGGCAGAGAGACAAGCACTCTATTTGGGCTAGAGAAATTTAATGAACTAGCACATTTTTTTTTTCCAGTTAGCTATAGAAAACATTATTGGCTACTTAACCAAGAACCAATCCTTCCAAATGGTGTCCCATTAGATTCCAGTATGCATGTTTATCTATGTAGCCATGTGGTTCAGGGGAGGTAGACTCCACCCTCTGGGTGTGAATGCTGATTGGTCTAAAATAGTCTTTAGAACATCACATTCCTTGCCACTGATTGGTTTGAGCATGAACAAGAGAGATAATTCAGATGAATGTGTCATGGGGAAATGATATGTACTGGGACCAAAAAGTGTGATGGTGATAGAACAGACAGATGCAAAGAACTTAGGTCCATGCGTGATTATCGTGCTGCTGAATTAACTAATCTTATGGGATAATAAATGTTTATCATTGTTTAAGCCACTCGATTTAGAATTTTTCATTGGGTGCAGCTGAAAGTACCCTAACTGGCACAGTGGGTTGCTGCCTCATTGCCTCCTGGAGGAATGGAGAAGGGGTACAAGTTCCTAGGTCATCTCGGCTCCTGGACAGTCGTTGCTGAGGTGTCAAGGAAGTCAGTGATGTTAAAGTTAAAGTAAGTGGTCCAGGTATGACTAGCCCAGAGGTCTACTATGAGTTTCTTTAGATGAAATTGGAATGCAAGCCACCACATTGCTGCCATGGGGTCAGTTGTAGTTTGGGACAATGTTTTATTTCTTGATAGGATTCCCAAACAGATATTCTTGGTGTGAGTCAGTACTCCAACCAATTCCTTAGGCAAGTGGCTTAAGTTTTCTCATTAGTAAAATAACAATCAAAATAATAATATCACATAGGATGGCTTTGCAGATTGAGATAAAGCATATAAAGGTAGTAGCATAGTGCCCAGCATATAAAAATGCCCAGTATTTGTTAGTAATCATCATCATCACCATCATCATCACCATCATCCTCAGGTTGTAATTAAACTGATATCCACAAAGTTTCAATGCTGGTTAACAACTTCTTGAAATATGGTCAATTAATGATTCTATTTCTATAGATAATGGTTTGTCTCCTGCAAAAATAATAACATAGTAATAATGGCTATACTTTATTAAAAGCTCACTATATACTGGATACTGTCTAAGCATTGTATGTGCATTATCTCAATAAAACCTCATAACAACTCTGTGATGTAGTTATCATTATTATTATTATATATATTTGAAAGAAGAAGAAACTGAGACACAGAGGTGAAGTAACAGTCCCAAATTCTTATGCCCCATAAGTGGCAGAGCCAGCTTTGAAGCCAGGGATTCAGGCTTCAGGAGGCATACTCTAAAGACACTCTGCAGGGGCGCCTGGGTGGCTCAGTTGGCTAAGCATCTGCCTTCAGCTCAGGTCATGACCCCAGGGTCCTGGGATCGAGCCCCGCATCAGGCTCCCTGCTCGGTGGGGAGCCTGCTTCTCCCTCTCCCTCTGCTCTCCCCCTGCTGTGCTCTCTCTCTCTCTCAAATACATACAATCTTAAAAAAAGAAAAAAAGAAAGAAAAGAAAGACACTATGCTTGCCACCTCAGTCATGAGACTCTTACTGAGGGCTTACCATAAGCCACTGATCAAAGGCTCTACAAGTATAAACCCAATTAATCACAATAATCATGTGACACAGGTGGTAGGAACCATGAAGGGTCTGAGTAAGACTTAATCCTGCTTTCAAGCTAACAAGTTAGCCTGCCAGCATTTGTTGGATGCTGGTAAGATTTCTGGCTTAAAGACAAAGAACAATGTTACTCACAGCAATAGAACTAGCCAGAATATCAGTATTTTTGTGACAATTCCCACAGAGTGGTACAAAGAGGGCTGGATGACACCTGAACCCACAGTGGGTTGAGTTGCAGGAGGTAGACCCTGAGCTTAGGGGACCTGAATCTTTTATAATGGGCAGTAAACATGCCTACCCTTCACTCTAGAGGGAGACTTGATCTCTATCTTCCAAGGCTATAGAAACATCCTTGAAAAGATAGTCCAAAACAAAGGGCAGTCAGTGCATTGCTCAACAAGATGTGCAGAAACTCGAGCTCCATGGAGAACTATCTCAACAACAGGTACTATTATTAACCTTATTTTGCAAATGAAGAGATTAAAGCCCAAGATTATGTAACTTGCTCAAGGTCACATGGCCAGGTTTAAACTTCCACTCTGCCTCTTCTTTGCTATGTGACCTTGTTTAATCTACATAACCTGCCTATTCTACCTCCTTACTGTCTTCACTAGAGTCCGTTCCTCCCTCTTCCCACTCTATCTCCATATCAACCCATGTGACTTCTCACCTGGATCATTCATTGTACCAGTTTCTAACTCCTTAATTTTGCTGTTCTTCAATCTTACCTACAGATTTCAGCCAGGCTTTCCATTCTAGAACGCAAATGTGATCCTATGATTCCCCATCCTTGAAATCTTTTAATGACTCTCCCCAGCATACAGGGCTTACAATGTCACGTGTGACCCTCACTTGGCTATCTTTTTTATGGTCCCTCCTGCTAGAACTAATTGCAGTTCATACTCTCTCAAGCTCGCATGCACTTGCACTTGTGCTTCTGTCTGCCGGGAAGCCCTTTTTCTCCATTGTCCCTGGAAACTGTGCTCATAGTTTTTAGAATCTCACCTGTTGCATCTCCTCAGTGAAGCTTTGTTGGACCGGTCTCTCTCATCCGTCTGATGAGTACTCGCTCTTTCTTTTCTCTCCTTCTCCTACCTCTCACTTCCTCATCTCTTTTGCTCCTTTCTCCATTCTTCTGTCTTATCACATCAGATCCCATAGCTTCACCCACCTATGTTCCGCCAGCAGCAAAGACCCATAATCCCCAGAACCATATATGCATTTTACTGTGGTTTCTAGAGTCACTGTCCTCCACTTTTGAAGTCTGTCTTGGCCTTTCTCAAAACTGAATGATGGTCTGATCCCTTCAGAAAGTGCAGGGATCAGTGGTTGCCTGGCAGTAGGGCTATAAGTGAAGATCAATGGGAATGGCCATACTGGAAACTTTCAGATTGACGAACATGGTTGATATATTGCTTATGGCAAATGAGGTGCTAGGAACAGTTCAGGTCAATGAGATATTAGCTGAAGTTTTGGGTGGAACTTCTGGGGCAATCTCCTTAAAAAGAGAGCACACTCAGCTGGCACATGTCCCTCTGCCTCTTATCTTCTCTACTTCTGCCTGGATCTTGGAAGCAATAGTGAAGGTAGAGCAGCCGTCTTATCTTTATGAGGCAACAAGCAGAGGGGAAGGATGACAGCAGAAAATAGGAGAAGTTTGGGTCCCTGATGGCTTTGTGAAGCCATTATAACATCCCTGCCTGACCTCCTTCCAGGTAACTCATTTGTGCTTCAATCATCTAAGCCATTGTTTTGCAGATTGCAGTCACTTATAGCCAGTTCTTAACTGACGGATCTTTGAAGCTGTATGTCTACACTGGGAATATCTAGAGGATCGATGAGTAATACATTCAACCGGTATAGGTCGACCAACTGATTCGAGATTTTGACTCAGCAGTGAAAGTCATTTGCTTGCCTCACTCCTTCTGTAGCAGAATTTTACTTCCCAAACATCCAGGTATTTGCTTTAAGTTTTCTTTTTCCTCTATTGGTGTGTCTGCATCATTCTTGGTCTTAGACTCGCTGTTCAGATAGAAATCAGGCCCTCTCCAGTTCTATGGGGTAGAACAGGTTCTAATGTAATCAGCTTAGGCCAGCCCTGGAGAATTACTTTGTTCTTTGTTTTTATATAAAAATCGGCCAACCAGAACCAAAATAAATCAATAGTGGCTAAACATGGAGATTCCTCTTTTCAAATTTCTTTGGACCCCTCAAGAAATCTGAAAACGAGAATTAAAGAGATTGCATTAGGAGTCCTCATGGAGGTGAGAGGGGGTCAGGGCTGCCTTCGGCATAAAAGCAGAGAAAAGTATGTGTTCTTCATTAAGTCCAGCTCTGCCTGCTTCACCAAGTTCATCTCAAGGCCCAGGTTCAGTCCCAGGCATGGCAGGACAGAGGTCTCCGGTCCAGCCAGGATTGGTGCAGCCTACT